CGTTGCAGAAATTGTGCCAAGTGGGCTCACGAGCTTTGCACGAGTGTTTCTAGTGCAGTTGATTACATTTGCGAATTTTGCATACATGAATAATCTTATTATTTCAATTTTTGTTTCAATTAAAAATACTTCAAATGTGTTTATTTCCATGAATTTGTTGCTATTCTTTAATGGTCCATTTGGTACTTTACCCGGTCCATCCAGTACACCGCTATTGTACCGAATGGACCACCAAAAAAATTGGAACAACCCACCTTAAAAATTAAATTATAAAAAAATTACGTTATTTGGAAATATTAAAAAAATACCGTCAACTGTGCAAGATAATGACAAATCAAGATCAGTTATTAAAATAGCGATAGCTGATTTTGTTGAGCAAAGAAAAAATATTTAGTGAGCGACAAAAAAAAGCGGTCCATTCGGCCCCCGTCTCCCCTATGGCTTTGTTAAGCGGTAAGTTAGCCACCGTGTTTTCGAAACAAGAGTAATATTTTCATTTAAATTGACAAAAGTTATTTCAAATTACATAATTCGATTTAAGTACAATGTTTTAAACATATTGAGTCAAATTTTTATTTAGTTTTAGTTGTTTGTAAAAACCCATGCAATTTCGTAAGTAAGCCCACCATGGCTTCAGTAAGCCACTCTGTTTTCTAAACAAAAAGATATATTTTATTTAACTTGAGAACGATAATTTTAAATTAAATATGTAATTCGATTTAATTATATTGTGTTAAAAAAATTTTTTAGTCAAGTGAATCTTTTGTAATAGTTGATTGTTAAAACCCATGCAATTTCGTAATTAAGCCAACTAACTTTATTTATTCAAATCTGCTGAAGTAATTAGTAGAAGCTCCTCGCTTGGCTTCATCAACATGGACCCCAGAGAGACTCAGCTATATAACCCTAAATACAACTTTTTTAAAAGTAAAAATACCACTACTACTGCTGCTGCTACTACTACTAATTCTGCTGCTACTACTACTACTGCTGCTGCTGCTACTACTACTATTACTGCTGCTACTACTGCTGCTACTACTGCTGCTACTACTGCTGCTACTACTGCTGCTACTGCTACTACTGCTGCTGCTACTACTACTACTGCTGCTGCTACTGGTGTTGCTGCATCTACTACAGCTGCTAGTACTAAGAGGAATGCTTAGCTTAATAGCATTGCCTAGCACGTGGGCAAACTACGGCATGCGGCCCGCGAAGCTATTTTATGTTCTTCAAAAAAAAAAAGGTCGTCAAGCCAGACATAATGACCAAAAAAGAGCCACAAATCTTAGAAAAATCCTTCCTTGGTCGAAAAAATTTGCTATTTAAGTACATATGCGGCCCTTCAAAGGTAAAATAGTTCACAATGCGGCCCTTGCAGCAAAAAGTTTGCCCACCCCTGGTTTAGCATGTTTTGATATGTGGGACCATGATCTCGTTTTGATCTTAAACTTTCAATTTATCTGAAACTTACTCATGAATCCCAATTTAATTATAAAAGTATTTTATATACGTATATAAATTTTATTATTATCGTGATTAAAATTTTTATTAAATTATTCGGCACTTGGCGCAATCGATTCTAAATTTCGACAATTCGAGTAAAACATTTCTTACGATTCAAGAGATTTATTCAGAAAACTTTTACTGCAACTTATAAAATAAACATTGTTCAATTTTGTTCCAAAAAATAGCATTATATTTTAGATTTTGTAAAACCTGCAGTTTAAAATATTATTTATCAATGCAATGGGCCAGAATTAAAAGTCAGTGTGTCCTTATAAAATCAGACTGCAATGCAGATGACGTTTAGAATTCGACGTATTTCACATCTCGGCCTCTCAGGTCCTGAAGTTCTCTGCGGCTTGTCAGCATCAGATTTCCGTTTGCATATTTCAATTCTTTGAATTTTTCAATCTAAATAGGAGAGTTGACACAAAAACGTTGGGTTATTATTTTGTTGGATTTAATATTGTTGTGAATTTAAAATGATAGCATCTCTTTGGTGCGAATGATTCATATACTTAGAATGAAGAATGCTAATATCACAATAGTAAACTGATTGCTAAACTTATAACTAATTTACGTCTTTGTTAGTTGAATGTAATGCGTTAAATTAAAACATGTTACCGATAATTGTTTTTTTTTAATTAAAAGAAAAAACTGGAAAGACACCTGAGCTTGGGAAACGGTGATTGGGTGCTTGTAAACTCTAACGTCAACAGGCTCCAGGCATGGAGGAATTGTACCACTTCCTTTATAATGGAAGAAGGATTTGTTCGAAGGGAACAACATGCTCAGGGTCAAGGTTGCATTGAAAAGGTACACGTCAAACGCTTTTATGGACGAAATAGGTTAAAATATAATTTCTCTATCATCTGATTAAACTTTATCTAATCCTTTTTCATCCATATCCATTTTAACCCTTTCTTATCCATTTCATATCCATTTTAATAAACTTATTGTACCTATATGAAAAAAATTTAGTTTTGTTACACAACTCTGATAAACAGAAATCTCCTCATAGCAAATTACTTATTGTTTGACTGATTTATTATACTTTCACTGTTATAAATGAGAATTGAACTTACATACATGCACCATATGTAGTACGCGCGCACACCACACGATGTATATATTCATCAAATTTTGTGTTTTTCTTACCGAAATTTAAATAACAAATTACGTGTTTTGTAGGCTTTAATGTTTGGCAAATGGTTGACATACTTCTGAACTTCTGTGTTTGCATCACCGATCTAATGAAAAAAAAGATTAAACATTTTTAGTTAGAAAAAATTAAATTGATAAATTAAATTATTTGAGATACGGGACGAAATGAAAATGGGATGAGACGAGACGAGACAACACGAAACGAAACGAAGTGAAATGGAATGAACAAAAATTTACAAGCTCATCAGATCATTTCTTAACCATTTAAAATCTCAATAACAAATTTGACCTCGGCGAAAACAACTGCTATAACACTTTTACCAAGGTCCATGTTGTCCCTGTGGCGAGAATTAGTGAAAATAAGAGATATCTAAGAAAAAAATAAAAGCGAGATTTAAAATTTTTATTAATTTCGAATTATTAAAATATGTTTCATCTAAATTATTTCCATTCTAATTGATCTAAATTTATACAAGAGGCATTCAGCACATAATAATTATTAAATGTTCATTCTTATTAGTCTCTTGCAACGGTGTTTTAATAAAATGATTTACTATTTTAATTTCATATTTCAATGGTAATATTACTTGAAAATCATATTCTTTCCCTTCGATCTTATGTTCGCTGGGCCATTTGAATTCAATGGTCAAGAAGTTTTTTCCATACGTGCTGATGTCACTCTCGTCGGATTTTTCCAGGTTGTTGGAGGAGACTGCAGTTAATATATTTTGGCCTAACTTGAGACAAGTTTGACTGAGTTGAAGACAATAATATTCATGATAAATAAATAAAATTTATAAGAGAATCTTGAAGATTTCAATGTCAAAGTGTAAGAGACAAAAAATAATGTAATTTTTTTAAAGTTGTACTAACGCCTGCCATATGCAATGTTCCCATCCATCAAAGCAGTCATTTCCTGCTCTACTGGAACATTCCATGCTGGTACCTCACTTTTCCCGACTGTTCTGAAAGTTTGGATGTCAATCGGTGATTGATTTGAGCCAGTTCTGCAAATCATTGACTGTGTGTGTGTTGTGTGTGTTTGTTTAAAAAATAAATATATTATACTACTTTGTTTAAGTTGTTTCGCCACTTCAGCCGCAAGTTCAGTCTCAGAGTCAGTGTCAACTTTGAAAACTATAATTATTTTTTTAATTGTAATAATAATTCATTTGTTTTCAAGGCTAAACAAATTTAAATGAATTAAAATATTTAAAAGTGTATAAAATTTTTGAAAAATTCAATAAAAATTAGGAGAATAATTACAAAATAGAATGAAACGGAACTGAAATTACCCAAAAAAGTTAACACAAAAAAGCGGATGGTCTTCATTCTACAGGTTAAATTTAAAAAATTTAATTTTTGACTGCTATATATGATAAAAAAATCATTTGATACAAAGCAAAAATACTTTGAAGCAGGTTTAAAACGTTTGCATTTTGAAAATTTTTATTAAAAAGTTAGCTTAAATATAGAAAAATGTCAAACTTTGATATGAGAAACCAAAACTGTTCAAATTGGACTTGGCTTATTAGCTCTTTATATATCCAGAATTGGCACGAAAATTGTTGACACTAGGCAAATGGACCTTGAAAAATTGTTTTAAAACAGATCATTAAATGATATATAAGGATGTATAATGATATAGTATCATATAATTGGTTATATTGTTTTTAGAATATTTTCAGATATTTTATATAATAGGTTTTTGTAATTGATGAGGAAATTTTTTACTGCAAAAGACCCAAACTATTAGTGCAAAAGTTATCAGAAGTTAAATTTTAATTTTCGGTTTTATTGTACTGATCCTATTTGAATTTTTGAAATCAATACTATTTGAATGTTATTCAAATCTCTGATGTTTCAGCTGAGTTTTGACACGTCGACCAATGTCATTTTTACATTTTTTTTATAACTTTTCTTGTGTGTGTTAAATGTGTTAAAATAAGATTTAGTTCTGAAGTTTTAACCAGTTTCTCTAAAGAGTAATACGGTTAGTGTATAACCGTAAATAGTGGCTAAAATTTTGGTTCAAATAAGATACCATACAAATACTACTATACATATGAACGCCAAAAAACTTTAAAAAATATCAGTTTTTTTGAGGACAAGGGCATTGTTTTAGTTTGAATGAATCAACAACACAATGTGGCCCATCATGTTCAGCATTATCATTATCATTCATTATCATATCATTAAGCTAACATAGCATAACAAGGATTTTTTTATTGATCCAAGAAGACTGAGTCTATGACAGGACCACTCTGAATCATAACATGATCACCACTAAATATGATTATTGCAAACAATTATCCATTACTAGATATATGTAACCCTAAGGTACCTGTCAGTCGGTTGCGGGATGTACAGTCAAAGGCAGCCGTCCTCATGGTATCATCGATAAAATTAACTCCGGAGATATCGATATTCCTGAGGTTATTTTAAAATTTTCTAATTACTGAGTAATTAATTAGGACATTTTCTTTATTTGGGATTTTTATTCTAAATGCTTGAATATTTGATCCTTTGTTTAATGATTGTACCGTTATTTTTTTATGCAGGCTTAGAGTCGAGAATCTATCAAAAAATGACTAATTAAATTCTTTTTTAAATGAAAGAAAATAGTATTTTTAAATTTTGATTTTGTCTGTTTTTAAAAAAATTTTTTTTAAAGAAAAGGTAAAACTAGAACTATAGGTATCAAGATAATTATGATCACAGACAGACATAAATTGCCCTTAATGGTGTGTACTATATGTGCAAATACCTATGCCTGACATTAATTTCTATCGTACAGTCATTTCATTGCATTGTGTGCTGGTTTTTCTTTGTCGTAAGTAAGGAACGTGACTTAATTTATCCTTGCTAATTTGTTCTTCCCTGTATTAAAAGATCTCACACGGGATGGGCTGTAGTGTATTTAATGAATTTGTAGTATGTATATTTGTGAAAAAAGAGGGTTTTTGTGGTTGTTGATGAAGTTACTACCCTGAAAATTGTTGTTGCCAGTTGCCAACTTATCTGAATGGTTGTACAACACCAAAATGGAAAATGCCACAATCTCTTATGGAAATATTTTTACAGAAGATTCACTGAACAGCACAAATACTTCTACAATAGTCACGTCTGATGATGAGTTAGTCAATGAAATCATCAAATCTATTGTAATAGTTGTTGCTTTGACTGGTACTGTGGCTAATGGTTTTGTGCTGTTTTTCATCTACTACATATCAAAATCAAGCAAAACCAATGTTCTAGTGGTTAATCAACTAGCCTGTGATTTATTTGCATCGGTATTTGTGGTTATAACATTTGCCTGGAAACTATCAGGTGTCAAGTTACGAGGTACGATGAACAGAGTGTTCTGTTTATTATTTGGAAGTGAGGCCATCATGTGGGTCGGTGTCAATGCTTCAGTTTTCAATTTGGTGTTCATCGCTATTGAAAGGTTCATCGTGACACGGTTTTCACTGTGGCATCGAAATCATTACAAACCTTGGTTCGGTTACGCTATCGTCGTTTTTATATGGTTAGATGGCTTAATAACGAATGTGCCAACGACATATGTTTCAGCAGATTTCTCGGATTACACCTGCAGTCCGTTCACGATGTGGCCTACAAAAGCTGCCGGCACGGCGTTCATATCCTACTACATCCTGTCCGTATACGTCATTCCATTAATTGTTTTTGTGTTTTGTTACACCAACATCATTCTCGTTGTCAGGGGAAACTCGAAAATACATGCGACGTCAGGTCAAACTGGTCACAGTGATACTAATCATAATGATAAGAACCAGATAAACATTATGAAGACGATGATGATCATAACTGTTACTTTCACGGTTCTCTGGTTGCCGTCAGAGTTGTATTTCATCATGATTAACGCCGAATGCTGTGGTTTTAGTATGTTAACTAAAGAGTGGAATTTAGTTTTATTGTTTGGATTTGCAACTAGCTGCATTAATCCTTTTATATATGGCGTTAGAACTGGAAATTTTAAGTCTTTCATTAAGACTTTCAAAAAGTAATCCTCAAGTTATTATAAAGTTGGGTTAAATTTCGTTCAAACATTTTTATGTAGCGTTAATGTTAGCACGTTTTATATACAAATACTTCTTGTGAATGGATTGTCGACATGTGCAAGATGCGTGTTACGATTTTACTGGTTTGCAATTGTGAAGTCTCAGAGTGCATGCTTAAAAATTGAGTTGGGCTCAGTCGTTTAGGTAGACACGACACTTGTGTCGAAAGATAAGCGCCTGCTAATTGGTTAATGGCATATCAATTTTGACATTCATGCATACAATACAACGGTTGATGTGAATATATATATAAGTGTGTTACATACATTCATCACGTGCGTACTTCACAAATTGATCAGAAGTGCTGAGGATGCCGAGACGACCTATCTAAGTTATTCTACATTTAAATAGTGGGTTATTAACATCTATCTGCACGTTTATGCATGTTTTTCTACATACTTGTATACAACAACAATACCGCAAGTTAGTGGAGGCTTGACGCTTTCATGTGGCAAGATTGGGGAATTGAAAGTAATTGGTTGGCATTTTATAACTATATAACCGCGCAAACTCTATATAACCATGCAAACTTCCACATTCAATCAATAAAAATCCCTCTAAAACCAGGAGCCACTGCGTACCCGCTGAATGTATGGTGTGAAATAAAACAAAAAAATCACAAAACGAAAAACACACAACCAAGTAAGATTAAAATATAGAAATCCCTAACCTACCTTTATAACTAAATTAACTCATGCCCTGGTCTACCTATATAATAAATTAATAATTTGTATACCTGTATTCTAGTTACTTTATATATAAAAGCAGCAGTAATCAGTGCTACCTGCTACATATGTATTCACGCAGTTCAAATTTTTCGGGAAGAATTCAACATAGTTTGAAACCACACCTTGCTTAACATCCAATTCCAAGCCGAGCCAATATGCGTATATTTATAAGCGCTTTTATATTAAAATTTTGCTCGCTTTATTACGAATATCTTCAATACCGATGTCAAAATTCAATTAAAATGGAACATATAAACAAGTTTTAATCGCCAAGTAATTCCACCAATTCACTAACAGGCGGTTAAATATTTACTGTTAACATGACGTCATTTGCCCATCAAATTTTATAAGTTCTATTTGATATTTTTTAATTAGGCAGTCCCAATCATCATCGTCGATATCGAAAAAGAAATCAAATTGAGAATTTTTAAAAACGTATCTTTATTCATTTTATGATACCACTTTTTCAATAAGATACTGTTTGATACTGTACTATCAATTAACCAGTCAATCAACAAATGAACCAATCAATCAACCGCCGAATCAAATCAACTGACCAAACAATCATTCAATCATTTAACTAACCAATCAAACAATCAACTAATCAACCAATAAACCTTGAATTATGTAATTTGAAATTATTTTTGTCAATTTTAATAAAAATATTGCAATTTCGTAAGTAAGCTAACCTTACATTAAATTAGTAATTGATTAATTAGATATTTATTAAACTGTGTGATAATTGACCCATCCTATTAATTAACACAATGGATAACATATATACCTATATAATAGACGTCTATACGTCCTACCTCGGGGAACTGGGTCTCTGGACGCTAAAGGAAGATTGATTGATTGATATTATATATGTCTATGATTAACTCGTGTAAGCCATGGTAGGGAATATAATTTAAAATTGTAAAAACGGGCCGTCATAATTCGTCTGATAACTTCCTATCCAAGACTTAACCACACACCATATAGTAGCACATACCAAAAAATACGAAAATACAATTGCATAAGCAGTAATAATGCTATAATTTTCAATTATCCTCATTAAATGGAATGTAAGGTCTAACAATATGACATATCAAACTATCGGCCACCATAAAAATAATAAAATAGAATAATAATAATAACAACAATAATAATGTTTAGTAAGCACAACGTCAATAACATACAATTACCGCTGTTTTCAATCTTCCAATCTGGTATAACACAAACGATACACGGTACTAGGAATTGAAATATACATATATGGATATATAACGCATGCCACAACGACAACATAAATGGTACTAATATGATTAACACAGTGCGTTATCTTCAGGATTTTTAACGATACTCTAAATGATACTCTAAATATGTATAGCCAATACCGATGCAAATACCGGCTTTGAAGTGTATTGTCGATACCAAATCCAATGATCGTTTTTGAAAATATTGCCGGCAATACTAATACAAGGGCGATACTCGAATACCGGAACCGTAACCGATACATTATCGGTGATAACGGTACTTTGGTATTAACTTCCTTGCCTATATATCGCATATCATGAGATATTCACGCCGAAATTGACCGAGTAGGTGGCTTATAAATTCATGAACTGTGAAATCTGCCTGTATATATATACATATACATATATATATATATATATATATATATATACATATATATATATATATATATATATATATATATATATATATATATAAAATAACATTTTATTCATAATAAATAATTATTTGTAATATAAGAAATTTCAATATAAAGTAATATTTAATATAGTAAAATATAATTATGACGAGTTTAGTAAAAACTGAACGGATAGATATTTAACAAAACAAATTATGAAAGAAAAATACACAAAGCACATGAGACACGAAAATTCCCACAAAAAGGTTATAAAAGAACAGCTAAACCAAACGCATGAAGTAAATAAACAATGGTTAAGCAAATCAATCAATCAATCAATCAATCAATCAATCAATCAATCAATCAATCAATCAATCAATCAATCAATCAATCAATCAATCAATCAATCAATCAATCAATCAATCAATCAATCAATCAATCAATCAATCAATCAATCAATCAATCAATCAATCAATCAATCAATCAATCAATCAATCAATCAACCAATCAACCAATCAACCAATCAATCAACCAACCAATCAATCATCGATTGATTGATTAATTAATTAATAAATAATTAATCAATTAATTAATTAATTGATCAATTAAAAGAAAATTAAAATTTCTCCAAAAGCTTGTTATGTATTATAACCCCCCCTACATTACTCCCTGTTACTAACAATCCGTCTCTATTTAAAACCTGGTTGGCTGATGAATAATTGATGATTTGACCTTTCAAGGTCGTCATTTTACCCCCGGAAGCAGTTATGAGGGCGTCGGGGGCGCAAATGTCCCACTTTTTAATAGCAGTCACGTGGATGTAGGCATCTGCTTCCCTGTCAATTATCGCCAGGGTTTTGTAACCTGTGTGTGTGTGTGTGTGTGTGTGTGTGAGTACGTGTGTATGTGTGTGTGAATGTGTACGTGAGTTTGTGCGTGTGTGAGTTTGTGTGTGTACGTGTAGTATATTTGTCTTAATTATATTAATGTCAATGATATTGTCAATTGTAATAATTAATATCCTGGTTAATATCAGCGAAATAGAAACGCAAATGCCAGATATATCCAAACAAACACAAACATACACACATGTACAACGATACACACACACATAAATGCACAAACAAACGCATACAAACAAACACAAACACATACATACACACACACACACACACACATAAACAAAACAAAACAAAACCAACCAGCTCCACCAGCCAAAACATGCCGGTAACGTTTCCCAAAAATTTTGTTAAGTTTAGCTAGGACATTACCACTGTGTGACCTTGAAATTATGAAGGTCGGGTCGGCCCGGTCATGCCCATCGTACTCTGGGGTATGCCACGACAGGTGTCCTCGCCCCTCTGAGTCTATGTATGACCAGTCTGTGTGCGTACGTGCGTGTGTGTGTGTACGTGTGTCTGCGTGTACGTGTTTGTAGATGCTTAAATAGGCATCTATTACTTACTTGCAGACAAAGTTAGTTACTACAAAACTATTTTCTATTATGAATTTATTAAGTCATACATTTACACGAAGTTCATAGGCAAACACTGCTAATTTTAATAACACAAACAACATTTATATTTTAATAATTTCTACTTTTTTTAATTATCCAATTACAACAAAGAAATAAAACAACAATAATGGAGAATTATTTATGAAGCGCTACACACATTGGAGTTAAATAGCTTGAGAAAAAAAAGACTCAGTACATAGCTGTTCAGAGAAAGGCTTGTACACAACACCAATGACTGGCCTACCTTCTACAGCCAAGCATATCATCACAGTTACGTAATTGAAAAGATTCTCTGCAGATTTTAATACTGAATACTTATGAAGTTATTAGGAATAAATTATTACAACTAATTTCAACTAACCAGCCAACCAACAAAATAACCAATAAATAATCCATCTATCCAATCATTAATCCATTCACCCAATCAGCCAACCAATTCCCAACAAATCAAATCAATCAAACCAATCAGCAGATCAATCAATCCCCAACAAATCAATTAATCAATCAACCAACCAACCAATCAATTAATCAATCAATTAACCAATCCAAAAAGCATCACCAGTAAACTCTTGAGTAGCATCAAGCGGATCAATCCAGGCAACTGCATCTGTCAGATTAACAAAGCCCTTTACACTATCTAGCTTCTCATCATCAGTATCATCATCAATATCATCATTAGTATCAAAATTTTGATAATAATTAGTATCATTATTAACTATCTTTTGATTGATATCTGATAAAGATGTCCTGTCGAGTAGATGGTTTAAACTTTCATTGCTGTCATCGTGTTCTTCAGAGACTAACTGGATTTGTTATAATTATTATTGTCGATATTATTATTATATAATTTATTATTTACACATAATATCATATGTGAACATAAAATAATTATACTGTCAAAAAGGAATGTATTCAATATATAATAATAATAATAATAATAGAAAACTCTTATTTCTCGAAAGCCCAAATAGAATGATGAGAATAAATTGATATAAAATGTTTCCAAAAATAAAATAGAATAAAATAATCAAATCAAAACGTACAATCAACCAATCCTCGTTGTCAATGACAAGTGTAGGTGCGTAAGACAGGGGTGGGCAAACATTTTGTTTTTTTTGGTCGAGCAAGGCTTCGCGGGCAGCAGAAAATGGCTTTGCGGGCCGCATGGGATTTGCAGGCCTTAGTTTGCCCACCTCTGTTGTAAGAGTAATATTTAAATAGCATTTATTAAACAATATTTTTTTTGGACCATTTGAAGAAATAGTAATAATAATTATAATAATATTAATGATAATAAATCTTTAATATTCACTTTTAACAAGGGGAATGAACTTTTCAGGCCTTCTGTGATGATCAAGTGCGATATCAAATCTGCCAGTGTCATTTTTTCGTCGGCACCTTCCTTAGTTTTACCTTTAACTATCGTTGATTGGTTAAAATTGTTAAGATCTTTGATTCTTACTATAAAATAACCGGCCCTAACTGCCAAGTTAATGCATGTTCTCAACAATTCCTTCGAGTCAACTATATCAGGATTTTGTATGTATACATGTTTGGAGAGATTAGGATGAAAAATTAATATTGTGTAGGTTATCAGTATTGTTATGATTAATAGTGTAAATCTAAGATGTTTTAGTATGAGCATTTTAAAGAATTGGTGGATTACACTGCTAAAATTTACAGCTGCAGCATTAGTTTTTTTGATCATTTGAAAGAACTTTTGAATAACCAGCTGATTAGTGTCTTTTAGTAGAACCATTAGGATTAGATATCAATGATCAATCAGTGAACACTGTTAAAGAAAGTGTGATGTGATTGATAAGGGAATTATAATTATAATCTTATTAAGAAATAATTCATATTTAATGTTCCTAGCATAGCAACTAGCAAGTTGTGCTACAGTTGCAAGTTAGTTTGTTACTTTTACATTTGCCATTAAAACGCCTAATTATGTGATCTTTCCTAATTAAATATAAAACCATTCAATTAATTAAATTAATCTTAATCAATAAATTATGTTTAATTTAAATAGCGGCCTTATGTTTCGACAGTTTGAACGCGTAGTGAAGCTAGACATATAATTACGTTGTGATTCACTTTTTCATGGAACACCAATAACGTTATGTCTAAAAAGAACTTTTTATTGCAATTAAGATATAATGATATGGGATATTCTAGTTATATGGATATAATACGTTAACAATATATTTAAAACAATATATATATATATATATATTTATTTATATATTATATATATCCTACTTTTTATCGTTTTTAAAATAAAACATTCACAATTAAAAATTTCAATAACTGCTAAGATTTTTATTTACGTTTGTCATTTTATAACGGTTTATCCATTTTTCAAACGGTTTTTATTTCAGCGTCGGTTCATTATTATTTAGTCCTGAGAAATGCTTATCAAAAAGAGCATAGTCCTGTTTTATTTATCAGGTTTTGTTTAATGTTATCGCTTATCTCTTTTTATCTGATTTTAAGGAGAATTTTAGATGTAAATTTATTAAAAATGTTGAATTTTTAATGAATAAACTCCTACAGGCCTGTCACTCGCTCACGATTCGAAAGTTTGGATCAGTTATTCTGATCAGATGTCTACGTTTGGTAAATTTTTGTCGCTATTTTTTCTGTTTGATATTCAAAAAGATTTACCTGGCTTCAATTTTTACTTCATTTTCGCTTATATATATATATATATACGAATATTTATATGGCGCTAATTAAAAAGTTTTTCAAAAGCGCTTACAAATAAAATAACATACAAAATAGTCGAAGACAAACGTTCATCACACAAATAAATCAAACATTAAATAAACATTAGATCAGTAAAAAAAACATTAATGATTGACACTACAGCGAAAATAAATATGTTAAATTTGTTTATTTTAGTTTTGTTCAGTAGCTAAATAATGCACTTATAATATATATATACCAGGCACCTTAGCCATTACACTATCACACCGCCCAATCAAAACAATAATCAAAACAAGCTTATGGCTTAAGTTATTAATAAAATAATTATTTAATTATATATATATTATATTATAAGTGCATTATTTAGCTACTGAATAAAACTAAAATAAACAAATTGTTAAATGGTTATCGGATTCATCAACTTGTTAAAAAATAATAATTTCTTCTCTATCGTTCCAAGCTTTCATTAAAATTTTAGTTTGGTGTATAAATAAATTTATATAATAATAACAATAATAATGTCATTTTATATAGCGCCATGGCAACCGACTGAGGTGCATTATCATTATTACAACAAACACACGGTGCATAAATATACGTGAATCAACGCATCACACACTTTTGCATGTGATAAACGGGGATCTTTTTTTGCATTCGAATCCGGACACTGCATCAACAATGCCAGGCAGCTTAGCCATTACACCATCACGCCGCCCAATCAAAACAATAATCAAAACAAGATTATGGCTTAAGTTATTAATAAAATAATTATTTAATTATTCTTAATTAAAAAATCGACTAGGCTCCAACTTTAGAGATATCATCGACACTGGAGAGTACGACTTGCGAAGGAGACGTTCTGCTGATCCAGAGGAACTCTACAGAGATAACGATGTATTCAAATTAATATCGAAACATCTACAGGCCGCAGACGAGAAATTTAAAAACTTGAAAGATAGCCTACTCTCGAGTCAATCGAGCGGGAAAAAGTTGCTAACATTAATGAAGATGTTTGATGAGAGTAAGAAAAAACGCGAAAAACAGAACGCCGAGAATGGATTGAGTAGTAAAGAAAATTTCATCGAAGACGAGGTTTACGATGATAACCTAGAGTATTTATTCGATTCACAAATTCCAGCAGAACCTGAAAAACATAAAAAACCCAAAAAATCCACTTCAAGATGGCACTTGGATAACGTTGAAAGTGATGTGAAAGAGACAGCTTACAGGAAGATTATGAACCACTGTAAAAAATCGAAATCGGAAGATGACTGCAAAGTCATTGATTCATTTTTCAACACGTCTCATGAAACGTTCCATGACATGAATATAAAAGAGGTTTGTACCAGAAAATTAAACAGCAACTGCAATGACTCATTTCATTTTATCTACGTTCAATTTATATGGCGCTATTTTTGTGATGGTTTCACAACGAACTTATTTTTTAAACATTTTCTAATCACAAACAACAGATGGAACAGAAAATCTTGAAAGAAGCCGTAGAAATTATTTTAACTATTCTCTGCTTACTAGGTCCTATCTTCAATTTTTTCGCCATCAGATTTGCCTACAGGAGGTGCAAGATGGCTCAGCATGACGAATGCGAAAAGGAAAAGGAAAGAAAAATTCTAGAAAAGATTCCAAAAAAGATCCAAATTTTTACTCTGCCAACGACAATTTACGATTTGAAAGAAAAAAATGGCGACGGAGAGGAAGAGGAGGAAGAGGAAAAAAACGAAAATATGTTGAAAAATTTGGAGTTGAAAGTGAAGATTAGTAAGGAGAAAAATAAATTAGGAAGTGTATTTCGGTTTCTCTGCTTTGCCACGAAGCAACTTGAAGACATGACAGTGGCCGAGATCAAGAAGAAATATTAATTACATTAATTAAAAATTAAAATGAAAAATTTGACTGTCATCTAAATTATAATTAGAAAAGAAAATTATTTTATCCTACCCTGCTAGTGGCAGTAGTAGCCAGAGCGTTTGAAGTGCGTTATTATTATTATGCAATTGATATTATCTAACAACTACTGGAAAGATTGCAGGGAAAAGAGATGGCGGTCAACAACGAAAAACATTTGTGAGGTCCTTGTGTCACTTGTTTAATATCACCACATTTCAACTGCTACAAAGTGTTAAGGATCGTGTTTTGTGGAGGCCGATGGTCGCCAATGTCCTGAAAGGATAAGGCACGAGAAAGAAAAAAACATTATTATTAATTTGTTATTTTCATTATTACTGTTATTATTTTGCTATCAATAAATATTGTTATGTAATAGTCTGAAATTGAACTCTGATCTAGCTAAGCGAGGTTTCCGTATGCCTAAGCTTAGCTAATTAAGTTGAGATGTTTGTTAATTGATTTTGGCTTGTTATTCTTATTGTATTACTATTTTTATTATCGTTATTCTTTTATTCTTCTTATTATTATTGTTATTTGTTTTACTTAATATTTTATTATATTTTATTTCAGTAACAAGGATGATTATGATTATTATTATTATTTATTATTATTATTATTTATTTCAGTTATTATTATTTATTTCAGTTGTTATTATTATTATTGTTGTTATGCCACTTTGTTTTGAAGTTATGCGGGTGACAAAGGAAATAATGAATATTGAATTATGTAAAATGGCGTTCAATAAGCGTGAAGAGAGAATTTTCAATGCCCTACCCGTGGTTCCAAACAATAGAACATTATTATGTGTGCTTGTGTGTGTGTGCTTGTGTGTGTGTGTGGTACGTGTGCGCGCGCGTGTGTGTGTGTGAATTAGCGTGTGTCTGCGTGTCTGTAAGTGGGAGTGCTTCTGTGTATGTGTGTGTGTCTGTTTGTGTTTGAATGTGTGCGTATTTATGAGATTATGCGCCTGTCAGTCTGTTTGTTTGTGTGTGCGTGTGTGTTAGTGTGGAATTGCTGGTCTTAAAAGTGCCGAGATTCTTATTAACATTTTGTGGGTGTATATGTATATATTTTTACAATATTCTTATAAATTCTACCGAATGTTTGGTACTCTCCTGGCTACTTATATGGAAATATAAAAACGCATAAGAATAATCATCCCATCCGACCAATTATTAGCCAAATTACAACTGTCACATACCCTGTTGCAAAATTTTTGAACAAAATTTTAACCCCATATATTCCAAACAAATTAGCCAAACATTCGGTAGAATTTATAGAATATTGTAAAAATTATGGTCTATTACCAACATATGTATATATATGTATGTGGTGTATGTGAATGCATGTGTCCTGATTCTTAAGTATTTGTGTGTGTGTTTGTTTGTGTTTCTGTATATATATATATATATACAGAAATATAGTAGATATATATATAGTAGTATATATATATATATATATATATATGTGTGTGTGTGTTATTAACGGTTTGTGATAGTCTGTGTTGGTGTTTCGTTATTATTTTGTGTGGTTTTGTATGTGTGTTTGTGAATGCATGCAGTCAATTGTTTGCGTGTATGTGCGACGCATATTTCTTTATACACATATATCTCCACATGCGTAAGTGTTTAAGAGGTGATTGTTTATTAAAAGTGTTTGGGACGCCTGTTTTAAATGTTTGTTTTTATACATATGTATGTTTTCTATTAACTGACTCCGTTTGTATGTGTATATGTTTGTGTATGTATGTACAATGTATGTGTGTATGTATGTATGTGTGCGTGTATGTATGTATGTAAGTGTGTGTATGTGTGTGTGTTTGTATGTATGTATGTATAAATGTATGTATATATGTACTTATGTATGTTTGTTCGTGTGTATATGTGTGTTTGTCTTCCTTTCATACAATGCCGTCACGTCGTAAAATCATTAATTGATGCGATTGAACTGATAAAATTAACGACAATAATATTAATAATAATAATAGAAATAATAATAATAACAACAACAACTATAATAACAACAGCAGCAGCAACAACAACAACAATAATAATAATCAAGCATTATTACATTTAAAATAATAACATTACGTAGTCAATGATATAGACTATAACATAAATTGTAGCAAATGAAGAAATAAATACGAAATAAAAGAAACAAACAAATATATTAATTAATTAATTAATAAGGAAATAAATAAATAAACCAACAAATAAATGAAATATTATAAGTAGTTTAATTAAATAAATGCAAAACAGAGTTCATTAATTAGAAGCTCCGTGTCACCAAGATGTTTATCAATGCCATTAAAGCTTTGCTTATCAAATTCATCTATCTCTATACACACACAAATGTGTGTTAGTATTATTAG